AAAGCAGGCAGGCAGGAAAGCAAGCAGGGTCAGGCTAAACCTCATGAGGGGGCCTGTCCCCCAGTGTCACTTCCTCCAGGTAAGTTCTAACCCGAGAAGACCCTACAGTAATGTTACCATCTAGAAGTCAAGTGTTCAGACACATAAGTCCATGGGGAATAGTTCACATTTAAGCTAGCACCCCATTAACGCACAGTAACTTGAGTTTCAAGCCCAGTCTCTGAGATGTGTATGCTTGGTTTGATTCTTTGATTTGGCCTATGCTAGCTAGTTGTCAGCTGTACTTAAGGGATTATTATTATTATTATTATTATTGGGTCTTGTCTATAATAAAATCTGAACCAGTTGAAAGTCCAGGCCTCTATGACAGTAACTGGGGTGTGGGGACTAGAGAGATGGCTTGGAGGGTTATGAGCATTTGCTGATCTTCCAGAGGACCTGAGTTCAGCTCTCTAAGGCTCACAACTGACTGTAACTCTAATTGCCAGATATTATTTTGTTCAAAAAATACCAAGAACATGCTATTTGAGTCAGGCAGTGTTCTGGTGTTATTACTGTGTGGATGATCAGTCTCTGTCCCAATGGAGTTTACATTCCAGCAGGAAAAGACTGGCAACCTACAAACATAAATTCTATCATATACCTGGAGGATTAAAATGCAAAAAAAAAATTATATATGTGCCTTAGGAAGCAGTAGACTGGTTGCAGTTTTAAGTAGCATTAAATGAGCCTCTTTAGAAAAGTGACATTTGAGTAAATATTTAAACCAGTGACAGAGTTAAGTGTGTGGCTGTCAAAGGTAGAGTGAAGAGCTTCTGTGAGTTTAAAGACCAAAGCATCCATGGCATATTTGAAGGATAACAAGCAGGCCACTTGGGCTTGGCTGGCATCAAGACATTAGTAGAAGATAAAGTCACCCAGGAAAAGGTGAAAGACGAGATGGAGATGAAAGAGAAGGTGGGGTTGAGAGAGGAGGAGGAGGAGGTGAGAAAAGGGGGGGGGGGGGGGGAGGAGTGAGAGAGGAGGAGGGGGGAGGATATAGAGGTGAGAGGAGAGGAAGAGGTGAGAGGGGAGGAGGAGGGGAGAAAGGAGGTGAAGAGAGGAGGAGAAAGAGGCGAAGGTGAATCGCAGGAGTCTGTGACTTTGAGCAAGATGGGAATTAGTAAGGGTTTTCAGAAAAAGAGGCTCATCTGGCTTGCATGCTATGGAATGGTTCTAGTGGTTTCATGGAGAACTGACTGTATGGGTGAGGGGGTAGGAGCAGTCCAGCCGCTGTCCTAATAGCTTAGGAATGAGGCAGTCATTTGAACAAGTACCATTTGCGGCGAAGAGAAGTATGGTCAGATTCTGGACCTGCATGTCTGAAGGCAGTGCCGACAAAAGATGCTGATAAGTTGATTGGATAGATTATAAGAAATAGGGATAAAGGATGATTCCAAAACGTGGGACCTTGGGCCAGTATGATGGCTCAGTAGGTAAAGGCACTTGCCATCAAACTTTCTGATCTGAATTCAATCCCGCGTATCTCCACGGTGGAAGGTGAGGGAGACCCAGTTCTCAGATGTTGTCCTCTGACCGCCACGTGAGTGCCACGGCATGTGCATCTACCCATACAAGTAAATAAATGCAGAAAAACATTAGAAAAAGATTTTCAGCAATGGGAAAAATAACAATTCCACCAGCAAGAGGTGCAGGTTGGTGTGATGAGGCAACCCAGGACCTCCATCCCTGCTGGTAAACGCCCACATGGAGATGTCCACTAAGCAAAGGAATATGCAAATTTGGTGTTGGAGAATAGCTACTGCAGTCAAGGTGATACTCTGGGTGTCATCAGCATGGAGATAGTATATAAAACTCCAATTTTGGTTGTCAGAGAACCCCAAGACTGCTGGAGAGATGAGCAGCCATGGGCCTGGAGCATCTTCATATGAAAAGGTTAGAAGGAAAAAGCAGTAGAACAAAGAAACTGAAAATGACAGCAAACACAAAAACAACAGGTGAAGAAACAGTCAGGGACACAAGAGAGCAACATCCTGGAAGCTGGGAGAAGAAAAGTTCCTTCTCCCCACCCCTCCTTCCTTTGCTCTCTTCTTTCCCAAAGCTAAGGCATAGCTTATAGAGGGAGAGAAGGAACCTGGGCAGGGTAGGGTGGGGCTGACTGGATCACCCCACCTGTCTGTGTGCTATGAGAAATCACATCACAATCTCTCATGACACAAAGACACTTCTCTTCTTCTACTCATTCAGACACCTGGCAGTTCGTAGGATGAAAGAGTTCATGCATTCTGACTTTGGGGTCTTTGGGTCAGTGTGTGTGTGTGTTTAAAGCCCAGTTGTTAGGGGCTGAATTATATTCCTCCACCCAAGTCCTATGTTGAAGTCTTAATACAAACTGAAAACTCCTGAATTTGAAATGCTCCAAAATCCAAAGGTTTGAGGGCTTTTACATGATGCCCAAACTGGGAAATTCTTCACCTTTCTTTATGTGATGGGCCAAATAAAAGGAGGTCACCCTAAAAGTTACCTTCTGACTATGTCCAGGCAATGTACAAAAACCTATGCAGGTAGCTGAATCAGAGGAGTTATGCTCATCAGGCCCCCGGGAGAAACAGCCCATCCCCAGCAAGGACAGCCGCAGAAGAGCAAAGGAAACCCATGTTCCTTTGCTTCAGAGCCACTCCTGAAATGCCACCATAACCCTAGGGAGATGTAAAAGTCTTCCTTTCCTTTTCTGTCTCTCAAACAACATATCTGAGAGATCCGAACACCAGCCTGTGGAGGCTAGCAGATGTGGAACCAGCATTGAAGACGTGCGCGTTAGTAACTAATGCTGGATATCCATCTGAATTCTCCCGCATGGTGAAAGCAGGCCCAGCCGGGGAGATGGAAAACTTGGATTGACTGATGCTCCAGTGGGACAAAGTCCAAGCTGAATTGGCAAGATAAAATACGCTACCACTATTACACCACATAGAAAGAAATTAACTTCGGTTACTAAAAAGCAGAGCTCTGGGACAATGGCACAATCTGTTTCGTGTTTGTCTTTCAAGCACAAAGCCTGGGTTCGACCCCCAAAAGTCATGTGGAAATTTAAAAGGCCGAGGCTGGTGGTGAGTACTCATGATCCCAGCACAGGGGGTGGGGCTCACTGGCTCAACTTATTTGGCAAGTACCAGGCTAGTAAGAAAGTCTGTCACACACACACATACACACACACAAATGGAAAAAAGGTAGATGGTACTGAAGAATGATGCCCCAGGTAGTCCACTGATTTTCACACACCTCTATGGACACACAAGCACATGCATGCACACATGCATACTCAAATACACCACAAAATGTCACACACAGGAAGCAATGCTATAGGCACGACAGGGAGGTAGAGTTGTTTTGGGGTGGGACAGCTTTAGTTTTTACAAGATGGTGGTGATATTGGCACAAAACCATATAATGACCTGTTATGTACATGAGATGCTAAGCTGGTTAAAAGCTCTTGCCACTCAGCCAGACTACTTAAGTTCAACCCCAGACCTCAAACTGTGGATAGAGGAGTCCAACCCCTTTAAATTGGCCTCTGACCACACATACTCCATAGCATGTGTAGTAATATTTAAAGGGTTGCAATGGTATATGTATTTTATCATGATTTTTTTAATTGGAAGAGAAGTTCTGTAAGGTGTGCTCACGTGAGAGTTTTGGCTTAAGAATCTAGTTCCTATCTGGCCATGGTGACATATGCCTTTAATCCCAGCACCCAGAAGGCAGAGGCAGGTGGCTCTCTGAGTTTCAGGCCAGCTGATCTACAAAACAAGTTCTGGGAGAGCCATGGCTGTTACACAGAGAAACCCTGTTTTGAAAAACAAAACAACAAACAGAAAAAAATATGAGAGGGGAGAAGGCTGGAGAGATGTCTCAGTGGTTAAGAGCACTGGCTGCTCTTCCAGAGGACCCGGGTTCAGTTACAAGCACCCACTTGGCAGCTCACAACTGCCTGTAACTCCAGTTCCAGGGGATCTGACACCTTCACACCAATGCATATACAATAAATAAGTTAAACAGATTTTTTTTTTAAAAAAAGAGAGAATTAAAAAACTCTGGTACCAGGACCAGGAGTGGTGACACATGCCTTTAATCCCAGCACTCAGGAGATAGAAACAGATCTATCTCTAAGTTTGAGGCTAGCCCAGTCAACAACGTGAGTTCCAGGACAGCAAAGGATATGTAGAGAGCCCCTACCTCCAAAAAAAAAATTCAGTACCTGTAACAACAGATAAAATCTGAAATGAATCTCGAAAAGAGGGTACGCTGAAGGGGAGATGCCAAGGTTGTTCAGGAAGAGGCAAGAACACAAAGGTGGAAAGGCGTGCATTCTGCTGTTGACCTATTGCCATCCTGAACAAAATCAGAAAAAGCAGGCTCAAGCCTCTCAGCAGACAGACCCACAGACACACCTATAACATCTTGCAATCATTTCTTCCAACCCAGAGGTAGTCGATCATGCTGCTGTACTCTGACGACTGCAATCTGTGCTTTCAAGCAAAGATTTCCACAGATCTCAAGGACAGTAATGTATGAGATGACTTTATTTCACAGGGCAGAGGGTTAAATACTGCCCAACTAAATGCTATCTAAAGCTTTAGAAATTGTAGAAGATGAACCTTATACCGGAACATTTCTGGCCACAAGAGTGGCCCCTCTTTAGAACTGCTGCTGCTTCTTAAGGCTTATGGTAACCATACAGCTTGCAAGACAATGGCTTCATGAACAAACAGCCATGCTTATAGCCTTTGTTCCAGATTGCTACAAGATATGAACTTTTTAAGATGAACCCCCTTTAAATGCTGACAGAAGAGAATATAGTCTATGCAACTGTCCAAGTCCCTACATTGCATCCCTGTCTAGTCAGATGGTGACTCTGCACATTGACCTGGATGAATGAAATCTTGAGAAGCAGAGAAAAGCTCCATGCAATTGGCTGGCTCTCCCTGCAGCTGCTTCACTCAGGAGCCCCAACTTTCACCTTCTTCTGCCTTTGCAGGTAAAAATATGGGGCCCTCACACCTCAGAGAGCTTGATATCGTAGGTGACCATGTTGAAGTTGTCCCAGGCAAAGAGCTTCCTCTCCAGGGGGTTGTAGTCGATCATGCTGCTGTACTTGTAGCGATTCTTGAATGGAATGGTCAGGGTCTTGCTGATTCTGGTGCCAGTGTCGTAGGCAAAGTTGACAGTCGCATGGGTTGAGGAGTAGCTGCTGACTGTGTACAAGGTGCCACAGATAACAAAGGCATTGGCCACGGACTGCTTCCGGATGTTAGTCTCCCAGGTACGCTCAAGTTCCAGAGTCTCTGGGTTCAATTTGGAGAGGACTATGGCTCCTTTGGCTTCCTCTGTGCTGTAGATGACCCAGAGGCCGCTTTCATCCACAGCTAAGTCGATGTCTGTATAGCCTCCCCAAGCATATGGGAACTGTCCATGGTAGCCAGCTCCAGGAATTTCCTTCTCAGCCTTCACAGACTCGGTGTTCAGCTCATACCTTAGCACAGTTCTGGACTCAGCCCCCTGGAAATAGAGGCTCCCAGCATACACCACAGCACCCGTGCTTTCCAATGCCCGGGGGAGCACGTGAACCTTTGAAGGGTAGCCCTGCTCGAACTGGCTTATCAGACTGTACTCAAACACCTGGCGGATGCCTGTGCCAACTGTGTCAATCCTCCAGGTGGTCTCCTGGGTGTAAGGGTTGGTTGGCTTGGGGTCTCTCATCCATACTCCATACTTCCCAGTGATTGTTTCAGCAGTCCTCAGAGTGACTGGCTCTCCTACCCAAACTAGTGCTCCACATCCTGATGAATAAAAAAAAAAAATGTCATGTATCTAGTATCCATATGTCTTGTAAACACAGATAGAATTGTAGGAGCAGAGCAGAGAAGGCAGAGACAGAGTGGATGAACACCCTACCCCTGATACCTACTTATCTTGTGGCCAGTGAGGTGCTTAGCTCTGAAAGCCTTGGCTTTCTCATTTGGATTTTTGTTTTGTTTTGTTTTATGTGCTTTGGTGTTTTGCCTGAATGAATCTGTGTGAGGGTGTCAGAACCCCTGGAACCATAGTTACAAATGGTTGTGAGCTGTCATGTGAGTGCTGGTAATTGAACCCAGGTCCTTTGAAAGAGCTGCCAGTGCTCTTAACTGCTGAGCCATCTCTCCATCCCCTGGCTTTCTCATTTATAAAAAGGGCTAAAAGTTTTAGGTAATGAGGTTGTTGTCAATGTAGATGTGATTAGAGATGCCCAAGTGCTTGGTCTAGAAAAATACCCAGCAAATATCACGTGATGAGTCTGTGATGAATCTTGTAAGGAAAAAGGCTGCATTGAGCTCTGACTGTTTGTAATTTTCTCCTTGAGCTTGTCAGGGGTCTGTGGCTGTTTATTACATTACTCTTTATGACTTTCAAGTTGGGTCTATTTCATTTAAACAAGAAATCTGTTCATTGTAGGCATAATGTCTATATGACAGAGTTTTCAAGTCTAACTTGACAGGCCACATATTTGATGCATCTATTTAAAAGATAAAAAACAAAGGTGATTTTTAAAAATGTATTGAATATATAGATGAGAGTTTGTGTTTAGTGGATTCAAGATAAATTTCTGTCCTTTTATGAGTTCCTTGAGTTTCCTCACAAAAGGCAAACACTAATGCTTCTCCCTCAGGGAATCCCACTTTAAATGCTTCAGGATTAGTAGGGACTGTTACTAACACAGTCAATATTATTTTCCAGAAACAACAGCCTTATTTCATGGAACACTTAGAGAGGAACAAATGTACATTTCCTTGATGGACAAAGGTCAGAAAAGTACCTTTAGTAACAGAAAGAGCAAGATGATGTACAGCATTAACCTGTCTCTCCAGGGGTGGGAGGCAGGAGGATATAGGGCTTATGGGCGCAAGGTTGACTTCCTTCCTGAGCACCCATCTAGACAAGCCAGCATAGAGGTTTCTCCTCCCCTCTCCCCAGCTTTGATCCTAGGAAAGTCACCTGTCTTGCCTCCTGGGTGAACAGTTGCTCTACCCAAACTGAACACAGAACAAGATGGCCAGGTGGGCTCAAAAGGGAAGAAATCTAACTTCATACCATTATCTCCCTCTTTGTTCCTGGGCTGGCCAGGTGGATTCTCCAATATTTGAGAAGCAGGGACCTCAGTTAACTCTGACTTCAGTTCCTGGAAGGCCAACGTGTCCAAATTCCACTGAGAGACTGTATCCAAAGAAAGAGACAAAAGGTGGTTATGGACTCTGGGTGGGTTACACTTGATATGTTTCCAAATACTTGATAATTGAGATTTGCTTTGGGGACCGGGTAAGGGAAGATGCAACATGATTGAACCACACTGGTAGCTTATTGGAACTGCGGTGATGGCTTCACTGGGGTTCAGTTTTCTCTTTACTTTTGTGACTATTTGAAAATGTGCATAATTTTAAAAACTTACAAATAATACATTGTATAGCACTCTGTTTAACACTGTGTTGAATATTTAGAACAAAATAAAATGCAGTAAGAGTTTTATGTGATTTATATAAATTCCACTAGGGAGATTGATTGCAAATAAAGTATGGTTTCAGGAATTCTAAGACAGTCAGTTATTAGGATTCTCTTAAACGTTTGAATTTCAACAACTAAATATTCACTATGATGTAAAGGGATTTACTTGTTATATGTGTAAGGATACTTATAAGAATAGATCAACTTCTGGTATTTAACTATTTCTATTTTCACTTGACATAATTACATATATACTGGTGGGGTAAGGTGACATTTCCATATATGTATACATTGGTGAGTGATCAGCTCAAAATACTTGCATATCCATAAATAATATTTATTATTTCTTTGTTTTGCAAACACCCACAACCTGTTGCAGTTATTTTGAAATATGCAGGTAATTGTAACACATTAAGCTTTACATGTACCTTTCTGAGATCAATTTGCATAAGGAGGACATGTTCCAGGTTCCTCTAGGACGTTCTAGAAAAGGGAAGAGGCCAGTACACAAGGGCCATGTGAGCCTTTTCCTACATCTCCCTTTCCCAGTGACTACATGGCAGCTCCCCTACTCTGCCTTCTTTCTCTCTGTATCTTTGTTTGCATTTCCTACCTGGCTCTATTCTTCTTGGCTATTGGCCAAGTCATCTTTATTTACCAACCAATAAAAGCAGCACATGTTCGCAGCGTAAAGAAGGACACCCCACATCACACATCAGGGTGTTTTGTTTTTAACCCTACAGGTTTTGCATATATATATATATATATAAACCAGTTGTGTGTTTTTATGGGACTCCTGAGTGCTTTTCTTTGGCTCTTATCCTTTTGTTTGTCTTGTTCTGATTTAATTTCATTTTATATTTTATTATTATCCCTTAGATGCCTGTTTGTTTTCTAACAAGAGACAGAAAGTGGGTGAGGGGGAGGTAGGGAGGAACGTGAAGGAGTAAATGGAGGGAAAACCATAATAAGAATATATTGTATAGAGCCTGGTGATGGTGGTGCATGCCTTTAATCCCAGCACTCGGGAGGCAGAGGCAGGCTGATCTCTGTGAGTTCGAGGTCAGCCTGGTCTACAGAGTGAGTTCCAGGACAGGCTCCAAAGCAATACAGAAAAAACCAAGTCTCAAAAAAACAAAAAACAAAGAATATATTGTATGAAAAACAACTATTTTCAATAAAAGAAAAACATAATCCCCTCTGTTAAATGTTAAACATTCCTGGCTTAATGTCTTGTGTGACTTTTGCATCCTCACTGGGCCCAGACAATGGCTGCTGGCTTCAGGAGAGCTACTGAGCTCTTGTAGAATGACCCCCACCTCGCACCCTGCACCGGGGGCAGAGCTCAGGCCCCAGATGATTGCTCCGCACACCCACAGAGCACAATCATGCATCAGATCTTCTGCCAGAGAGACAGAGGCATAGGGGTATAGGATTTTGTTCCCATCCTGGTCCCGCCATGCCCCACCCTCACGCTTGGAAACAGGAGACCTCACTCTGGCTCTCTTCCTGTCTTCCCCTGCTCTTTATGGGGAACCACGCCTCATCCACTTTCCCCGTGGTAAACAAGAGCCGTAGTAACACAGAATGTCTGAAAGGCTTCCAGAGGCCACGGGGCTCATTTCCAGTTGGCAGGTCCAGTGGTTGGATTAGGAACCTCCTGGTGGCCTCCTAGTCCTCTCAGCCAGGGCCTCTGGCAGCACTCAGATTCCCCTGGGAGAGCCATCTGGCGTGTCTGCTGAAGGCATGGAAGCTTTGTGAGAAGGGACCTGTACTGAGCCAGAAGTTGTAGTTTTCTTCAGTTCTGCCATATCCCAGCCCTGGGGCTTTGGGCAAACGAGTCAACCTCCTGAGCCCCAGTATTGTGATCTGGACAAATATATCAGGTTGGGCAGGGAGCTGACATGTGGTCCTAGCAACCTCTAAGAGTCAGGTTGCCTGTGGTTATAGAGGAATCATAAATAATTCCTTATAAGGAAGTGTCCAAACTCTGAATTTTTTCCAGAATGTTTAAAATCACCAACATTTCATTTGGAATACAGAGGGAAAACATGATTGTGAAACTAATATCTGTATTGTATCAGATATTTGAGGCTCTCAAGCCTTTTGCTTATTTTTATTCTTAATAATATTGAGATTCAATCCTTCCATCATTAAAACTTTTGAGACCTTCCACCTAATCTGTCCTGAACCTCATACTCTAGGGGAGCTGGACCTATGGACTCAGCCCATTAGTAACTAATGTGTATGCAAATGCAAATGGCAATGTAAAGATTTTTGTAAATATTTTATATTTCTGTGAAAATGATAGCCAATATGATCTAAATGCAGAGACTAGGTTAAAAGAATGCCATGACATTCCCAGGCTGACCCCAAAACACTTCAACAAAGTGAAAGTTAATGAACAGCCTGTTTTCCAGTTGCCCTGAGTGCTGTCTTTAGATCCAGTGTCTGCTACGGAGATTTTATGGTGTGTCCTGAGGTTCTCAATGGAAGGTATGACATTTGTATATGATGGTGAAACTCAAGCAGAGGAAAACAGTGCAATTACAACCCTTTGTCTCGGTGGTCACTCTGCTGTAGGCCTCTTCCTGCCTACCTTTCCCCAGCAGCTGCTCTGACAACCTGACTCTTAGAGATGTCAGTTGCTAGGACCACATGTCAGCTCCCTGCCCAAGCTTCTCTGACCCTGTAGGAGTTCTATGAGAACCAGCCTGGCATCCCATTTCTCACAGATGAGGGGCTGTCAGATTCAGAAACCAGTGTCCCCTGGGACTGAGCTTCTGTTCTCCATGTAGTAAGCAATTTGATGAGCCCCCCTTCTTTCCATTTCCAATTTTTCATGCCTTAAATCACTTGGGTGTTTCTTTTTATTTTGTTTTGCTAAGAGCATAACTTCATTTGAGTCTGAAACCCCGCATATAACTTAGTGATAATCCTCTCCATCTGCCTTCTCAGAGCCCAGTTGAAGTCTTAGCTACCACAGGGCAGCTGTGCAACCCTCAGCCCCTTAGCTCCTTAGAACCTCACTTTTCCTCCATTGTCAAATTCAGAATTGGATGCCTTCCAGCTGAAATATAAATATTTAACTATATAATCATTAATGGGAGGAAGAGAGAGAGTGATGGATTACACATGCCATAAAAGCAGAAATGAAAGACCATGGAAATCCATGATTTTGTATGCTAACTTAAATTTCAATAACAGAAAAAAGTCGTTGCTTTTCTATAGTTATTCATTTGAGCCTCACGACAATAATTACGAGTGAAATCTTTGGGTGATATGGAAAAGAAATAAATGTGCTGAGAACAAAATAGCTTGTCCCTTGCCAAGCTTAGTGACTCGACTTTTCTAGCCTCGGATCCATGCAGATCCTACCTCTCATCTGTACTTTAGCTACTGAACTGCACTCCCCATGCAACACTTACTTGGATCCAACAGTTCCTCTCTTTCTCTCACTCTCTGAGAGTAAATTGCATAAATCCTGACAGCTCAGCTCTAAGTGCGTTTAAGCAATGCTTAGGCTAGTATCCCTCATAACTGTGATAGCACCTGAGAAATGGAATGTTAATATAGTGACCTTCCCTAATTATTAACACCAAAGTTCCCTAATCATCCCAACCCCACCCCTCCTGTAGCTGTCCCCTGTCCATGTAGGAGCTGATTAAGGATGTACACATATTTGGTCATCAGGCCTTTTAGCCTCCTTTATCTGAAATGAACCCTTCCCCCCATTGCCATTATTTCTTGACATTAACTGCTTTGAGGAATCTAGACAAATTGTCCCACATCTGAATTTGCTTCCTCGTGAAACAGGTGACTGTTTGGGAACAAATAATTCTCAAAAAGTGACAACAAAAATACACAGAAAGCAAAATACTGTTTTCTAGCCGTCAAGAATAATGTACCCATCTCTTAACCACCCAAAGACCCATCTCCAAGCAGGAGCCAGGACAAACGGAAAGCCCCTCTGTGAGCAGGATCACTTCAGAGCTGCCCAGGAAAAATAGACATTCTCTTATTCAGCAACAAAAGGCAAAATCTCCAAAGCCACGCACTAAGGGACCTGAGGGAGAAATTGTTTCCTCTTTATTTACCAAGTTAGAAGATTTAAAAATAAAACACCACCAGGTTCAGTGGACCACACCTTTAATCCTGACACTCATGAGACAGAAGCAGGCAGATCTCTGAGTTCAAAGCCAGTGACCTCCCCTAATTATTAACACCAAAGTTCACTCGTACCGAGTGAGTTTTTAGGACAGATGGGGCTGCACAGAAAAACCTTATCTTGAAAAGCCACATAAATTGATGATGATGATGATGATGATAGTAATAATAACACCAGTTTTCACTGCACAAATCATTTGGCATTTCATAAACAGAATCCATTTTGGTAGGAATAACAATTTCTGAGAAAAAATTTCTGAAAAAGAATTATCCAAAGGGGACAGCTGGCCATTTTCTAATGCTTATTCACCACATATCTCTCACCTGGCCTGTGGTTTTCATTTGCCTGTTGGCAGTGATAACTTTGTCATAAATGGGTACAAGAACTCAGATCCATTGACCTAAATAAGGAGCCAACTTACTAGAAACATGGAAAAGTGCTTGCTTTGTTCACCTTAATGCAGCTGTTGTGTGCTGGAACTGCTGTTTTGGAGAGAAAAGACAAAACAGAAGGAGAAGCCTGCGAGTCCTGTAACATGTCACCAGCAAACATGCCTCCTCCTGGGTTGGGCAGACCCTCTACCCTGCGTTCTTACCTTCCCTGGAGCCTGGCAGCATATCCTGAGAGGAGGGTCGGGTTGAGGGACATTGGCCCCTCCTCAGCCTTTCTACCTCCTGGCTGCTGCCTTCCAGCCTCCTGGCCAGATCTTCATTCTCTCGTTCCAGTTGCCTCTTCTCTTCTTCTAGAGCTGACTTGTCTCGTAGGAGATTGTTATAGGCCACCTCCAGATCCCTGGTTTGGGTCTGTAGCTGGTCCCGTTCCTTCCTCAGGGCACTCAGCTGCCCCTGTAGCCCCTCCCGGACCTCCTGGGTCCCAGCAGGCTGACCCAAGTTCAGCTGGTGGAGGAGACTCTCCAGGGAGCTGAGCCGGGCTTTGGTGGACTCTAGGTCTGCATGTTGGATGCCGCTGTCTCTCTGAAGGTCTTGGATGGCTGACATGGCCTGGTCCTCCCTGGGGCAGCTGGATTCAATGGGGCTAGCCACAGTGAAGGTGTACTGGCATCGGCCACTCCGATCATTGGCCTTCCGTAACTGCGCTGTCCTGGCCCCCATTCCCCACACCAGGCAGGAAAGAAACAGCAGCTGGAGAGCTAGCATCTTGGGACCACAGCTGCAGCAGCATGCACAGAAGGCCATTGGTGTGGAGGCTGGGTGAGTTTCTTCTGGAAACCTCTGTTGCAAGGTATCTGGATGGGTGGCCCTGCTGCCTCAAGCCTGAGGTCCAAAGAGGTTTATATGTCCTGGGGAGTCAGACCTGGTGGGAGGGTGAGGTAACCACATGAAACTGGGTTGGGTCAACAACCCCCCTCCCCGGGAGGGGGGTGCAGGGGCGGGTGTGTGTGTGTGTGTGTGTGTGTGTGTGCATGCACTCACACTGCCAGCAAGATTATTAGGGGAAAAAAGGGGCTCCTTTGAATTTATTTTTTTAGAAGTCCCACTGAATGGACCCCCACACTCCAGTAACCCCCCTCCAAGTTTCTAGCCTGTTTGTATGTACATGTGCATATATGCCCACCTTGTCTGACAGGAGTAGTTGGTTGTGTGCTTGTTTGAACAGGGATAGAAGTTTAGTTCATGTTTCATTGGGGACCCCACCTGGACCAGTCACTGTGTAAGGAACTGGGGAAACAGATGTGCTTGAGAAGACATGCCCTGAGGCAGAGGCAGAGACAAAGAAAAGCCTGAAGAAGAGGCTAGTGCCCACAGGCTCCAGGCTCCCACAGAGGAGCTGAGAGTAGGATCCCCCCATCCTAGGTTTAGGATAAATATGTGGACACCCTTAGAAAAACTCCCTAATTATAGCCTCTTGTCTCAGGAGTCTGTGCCAGTACCCTGGACCAGGCTTTATGATGTGTGTGCCCACAAAAGCCTGCTGGTGAAACCTGTGCAGCCATCCCTGAAGATGCTTTCCAATGTATAAAATATAAGTAATCAAACACATGATACCAAGTTTACAAATATGAAGATATTTAAACACTTGAAATATATGCCGTAAAACATCCAATATAAGGTCGAATTTCAAGTACTTTTGAGCATATACAATATTTCATGAAACCCATATCACCTGTAATGTAAGTATTGTTAGTATAACTTCAAGTTTATGGATAAGAGCGTGATTAGATAAAATAACTGAGTGAGAAGGTTATGGAAATAAAGATGTAATTTATTTACCAGTTCAGATTCATGGGCTGAAATCTAATAACACCTGCTTTTCAAAGAGAGCCGGCGACTGCTGATTGGTATATGTGTATCTATGGTACCGGCGACTGCTGATTGGTATATGTGAATATATGGTAATATGAGCGACTGCTGATTAGTATATGTGAATATATGATAGGGGCATGCAGACTTGAAAGTTCCATATTATGTATGTGTGGAGGTCAGAGGACAACTTTTGGGGGCCAGGCCTCTCATTCCACCATGAGATCTGGGGATTGAACTCAAGACTGTTGGGCTTGCACGGTAACCACTTTCCCCTGCTGTGCTATGTCACTGGTCCCCTCATAGGTACCTTAAAGTGACATTTGCATTTGAGTAATTTTAGGTTATCAGATACTAATAGCATCTTCAATATTTATGTAATAAATGTTTCTGGTGTCTCCTAGCATACTCACTTAAAGGCTGAACAAGCACATGTCGCTCAAAATATGTTCTTGTGTGGGTGTGGGTGGGGTATGTATGTGTCCATCTGAGTGGGTGCACATGCGTGTATACAGATATGCATGTGGAAGCCAGAGGTTGCTATCAGGTCTATCTTCTATCACTTTTCACTTCTGAGACAGAGTCTCTCACCGAGCCTGAGGTTCACTTATTTGGTTTGATTGGCTGGCCAGCAAGCACCAAGTGTCCTCTGCCTCTGCCTCCCCAGAGCTGGGATTACCACTGTTTCCCTGGCTTTTGACATTGGTGCTGTTCAAAGTCAGGCCATCATACTTGCATAGCAAGCCTTTTACCAACCAAGCCATCTCCCTTACCCACTAAGCTGTTATTGTGCAGGACTTCTGAAGTTAAACCTGCCGCTGCTAAGACACTGACAAGTGGCTTCTTGTTTACCTGCTGACTAAGCAGCGCTATTCTCACTTCGTAAACCAGAATCACTGAAAATGATTTAAAAAAAAATCATATAGTCAGCAGGAATGAGGTTCAAATCTGTTTCCCTTCACTCTTAAAATTTCTTTCTTCTAAAAGGACTAAGATGATTCTTGTCCTGCCAGCTGCATGAAAGAAAAGAATTCTGGGAAAGAAGAATGTAAGGAAGCAGGACTGCCTTGCTTCAAAAGGAATAACATAGTACTATAGTAGGGCTCCTGACTTCAGTTTCCTTCCACAGCACAGCTTATGGTCCACCATCCATACTTCCCCAGGCCTTTGCTGAATCTCTGTCCTTTTCACTTACAATCTATCTCTTCATCACCTGTAAGCTGCAGGCTCGTCTGTAGCATCTCAGGCCTTGTCCAGCTGTGTGAGTCCTGGCCAGGGATGACAAGGACAATAGTCCCCAACATTTCCTCTCATTCCAGCCCCGTTTGTGAATACCGGGCACAGACCACCCATCGTTCTCTGCTCTCTTTATGGTTCTGGCAGGTGCATATTTTGGGGGAAAGAATGTGGGGGTTTCTGTTGTTGAATATGCCTTCTCCAGTCACTCTGGTTCTCCACGGTCATCTCTCCCCCACCTAGAAGGGTGGGCAGGGGCTGGTGGAACTTCCACACTCTTCTGCTTTCATCCACTAACTATCATCATCTCACTGCTTAGTGGTTTGGGCTTAACCTCCTGTCAGTTCTCAGTTTCTCCTCACACAGAGCACTGGGGCCACAGGCCTCTGAGGAAAGCAAGCTGAGGCTGCAGGGTCACATAGTCCAAGAATGGGAGAGCCAGAAAGAAACCCATCTCTCCTGACTCCCTAAGCCTCACCTTCTCACATCAGCCAGGTCAGAAAAAAAAAAAAAAAAAACAACCCACTACTTGCCTAGAAGTCATGAAACACAGCAGTCATTTCTTCCATGAACCAATGCCGTAGGAAATGGGCTTGCTGCCTTGTCCCCAGTAAATGAAAGCCTTCAGTGCGGGAAGAGTCCCACAAGACCCTTGAGCTTTTAAGCAAATGATTTTGTGAAACTGCATTCCTTCACAGAGGTAGAACCATTCTGCTCTGTGCACAGAAAAGGGGTCTCCGGGAGAAACAGGGGCCACTGCACTCCACCAATAGCCACGGACATCTCGTGAGATTCAGCCTGTCCTTTTCACCTTCCTGTCACTCCTGTCAGGCCAGCCACCCCACTCTCTGCAGTCCCCACCTCCTGGATTTCTGGACACAGAGACTCTTTTCCCACTGAGGAAACACTGTCTGCTCCAAATTTTCAGTTAGACTATATTCCATTTCCTCTTCCTTTCTGGAGCCAGGAGGAGCCAGGAGTTAGCAGTCAGGAGCCAGGGAGTCTCCAGCTCAGATGTGCCAGGAGATGCTCATGGGGTGTGTCAGACCAGCTGCAGCCCAGTTGTTATTGAAAAGGTTTGGAGGGTGCATGACTGGGGAGGTGGAGGCATCAGGGTCCTCTGGGGAGGTGACATTATTCAGGAGCTTCTTGCACAACCATTCAAGTTTGCACTTGCTCTCCACCCCTGCTCTTCTTAGCAGTGGGTTTAAATTTGTTGACTAGTGGTATTCTTCTGTGGGTCTCCTTCCCCGAATGATGTGCTAGCACTTCTGATTTTCTTTCTTTTCCTGTTGCTGTGATAAAATAGCCTAACAAAAGTGACTTAAGGGGGAAAGGGTTTAATTTAGTTCAGAGTTCAAAAGTATGGTTCATCCTGCTGGGGGAAGTCAAGACAGCAGGAGTTTAAAGCAACTGATGACATTACATCTATGATCAAGAAACAGAGGGCAGCAAAGCACAGTGGTGCATGCTTTTAATCCCTGCAGTCGGGAGGCGGAGGCAGGAGGATCTCTGTGCATTCCCAGTCAGCTTGATCTACATAATAAGTTTCAGACCATCCAGGTCTACATATTGGCACCCTGTCTCAAAAACACAAAATAAAACAACAGCAATAAAATAACATAAAAATAAACAAAACAAAGCAAAAGAAAAAGCAGAGATCAATGAATGTTTGCTTGTGCTTAGCACACATCCACTTTGTATGAAGCTCAGGATTCCAACCTGGGGAATAGTACCACCAATGGTGGACCTTCTCAGTTAATTTAATCAAGATAATCCCCTATAGGCATTCCCAGAGGCTAAGACAATTTAGATAATCCCTCACAGGTGTGCCTTGAGGCTTGTCTCCTAGGTGATCCTAGATCATGTCCAGTTCTTAACACTAACCATCATGACCCGTTGCTCAATACACTTCCAATGACTGCATGGCTGGATGGATGGCTCAGTCATGCAGAAGGTATGGTGGCCTATGTCTGTAATCCCAACATTCCAGAGGCTGAGGCAGAAGGATTGTGAGTTGAAGGCCAGACTGGGCTATGTAGTTAATTACAGTCCAGTCTGAGATACATAAAAGGATCTTGTCTCAAAAATCAAGATGCCTTGCAATGAGACAAGATGCAGGCAGGCAGAAATAGAAAAGGGCCCTAAGAGATGAGAGCAGGGTGATGAGTGGTGACATCTCACAGGCTGCTGGGGAGACTCTGGACCTCCCTGGTGTTGCTTGCAGAGCTCTTGATGCTGAGAGGGCTTCATGGGGCGAGCTCCTCCTGCAAACATGCACATAGTCTCAAATAGAATGGTGGGGTTTTTTTTTTTTTTTTTGCATGCTTTTCCTTATGAAGGAGCAGGAGATTTACCACAGAAACATGGTGAACATGATGGTAATTTAATAGCATGAAAATTAGGACCAGGACTGGAGTTCCTCTATTCTATCTGGCAAAGCTCCCTATGATTGTAACAGTTTTCATCTGTTTCCTAGATAGACTAGTACATCACTAAAAAGTTTGGGTGGGGCTTGGGGTTGGGACGACTTCCTATATGGTCCAGCTAGCATCAAAGTCATGTTCCTCTTGCCTAGGCTTCCTGGGTGCTAGTATTACAGAGAAGAAATATCCCTCTGTTACTAAGCACTGATTGTGTTTGAAGTCTGGGGAGCATATACAGATGTGTAAGACCCAGATCCCACCTGCTAGGAACTT